TGGTGACCTTGTGCAGGGTAGGCAAACGTCAGTCAGGTAGGGAGGGACTGGTATTCTTAATACTCAGGATGATCCGCAGCGTTGCTGAGTTGCCACTTTCTGATTTTCTGCTTTTAAGGATTTTTTATACCTTAAGGTATAGATTTTTTTCCTTTTGTATCCTTGAGCTGTTACTGTTACCTTTTTAACAAAATGCTTCTCTGTGCTTTCGCTTTTCTCATTTTGCATAGCTTTAGCCTTTGAACTTAAGCAATTTTCTTATTAAAACTGAGTCAAGACCACAGAGCTGTGCCACACAAAACCCGGCTTTGGATGCCAGACAGCTGAACCCTTGGGCCAAGGGCTGCCCTTAGTCTGATGCGGCAAACAAATTTTCTCAAGTAATGAATTCTGACCCTCCTTCCCGTGGCCTGTTCTATGTCACTGCACAGGTACATCCCTTGTGCTACACAAATTTGCCTTCTGACCCCTGGGCCAACTTTAATAAGCCTTTTTTTTGCCAGCTTGAATTGTAACACATAGTAACAACAGAAACATGACAAACGTGCACAGGATGGAGTGAACACTGTGTATCAGACTGTGAGAGAGAATGAGGGGAAAAGGGTCCCATAAGCCCGCACTAAACATAGGCAGTCATTGCCATCCTGACGGGAATGTGTATTTTACTGGAAAAATAATGAATAAAAGAAGGGTAATGGCATCAGAACTTGGAGTAGATATATTACACTATTGAATAAGTACCATCCATTAATTTTATAGTACTACTGAAAAAGCACTCAATTTTTCGTGTTGAGGTTTGCTCTTTATAATCTCTTCTTCAATGATTTTTTTCTTTTAATACTTTTTCCATTGGTTTCCCAGGATAAACTTCCTAGACTGTAATTGCCAATATACTTTCATTTTTCATTCATTGGTGGAAGCTGTTTGAACAGATAGGGGAACTGTTTTTTAAAGTATGCACAGATGAGCAAACTCACAAACCCAGAGGTCAACAAAAGAATTCCTCTTCTGTCCTTCCTACAATCCAAGGAGTTCTTGCTCTTGCTTATGTTCCTTCCATGTATGGGTTTCAGATTATCACCTGGGCTAATTTAAACCCAAACCATACCATGCCAATAATTCTCTTGGCTAGACATGCTAGATGGGATTTGGGCTTTTAAAAAATGAAATTCAAGAGAAAAAGAAAGTTGGGATTGGAACAAATTCAGAACA